TTCTTATCTTTCCTTGGCTTCCTCTGCCACAGAATATCAGCATTTTCCCTTACATTTTCCCTGGACATCTGACCCTCTGAGAGTTTAACCGGGTTTGGCTGCCTTAGAGGAGAGGTATGGTTTTCATTCTGGGAGGAAATGGTGCTGGGCACATATTCCCTCCCCATGGTCACCCTCTTCACTTCAAGCTTCTTGGCTTCTGGTTGGCCTCAGGAGAAAAAAAGAGAGAGGTTGGGCTGCTTTCTTGGTGGCTGTGGGAGGAAGAGCTGGAAGCCTGGTCTAGTGTCTGTAGGACCTGTTTATATGCCACATTCCACATGGTATGGGAAAGTAACTTTACATATGACTGTAACCTCTGGTTAGTGACATTTGTCAGTTACATGATTCAAATGTACCATGTTTGTGTTGCCTCAGGCAAGTCTTAATTATGAACATTTTGATTTTTCCACCAGTTTTCCAAGGAAGATCACCATGCCCACATCAATCAGATCAGAATTATTTAAGCCCTTCCACAAACGTGCTTTTTCTGTTAGATTGAATGTGTCTAGGTTGAATGTGAGGTTTTTCCAAAGTGACTTAATTTCCTAGTAGGAAACAAGTATGGGGGTTTGACGTGTGTCCCGAGGCCCAGCTGAGGAAGCCCAGCTGGGCAGCAGCTCTCTGTGGGCAGGTCTGGCTGGCCAAGCCGGGGCTGGCAGCAAGGGCAGGGGCTGTGCACCATGAGGGGTGCCATGAGGTGGACAGCTGTGGCCCAGAGGAGCCATTTCTCCTCGGAAAGGGAGAGGACTCTGTTGTTCCCTCCTCCCCAGGGCTGTCTTATTTTGTGAGCACAGGGAGTACCTTTGTGTTATCTGCTGGGGATATGGGCAGCAGAACTTCTGGCACAAGTGACCCTCTAAGAGCTTGTAAACCTCAAGAAAATTAAAAATGCAAACAGTGAAGTTACTTAAACATCCCAGTAACTTGCTGGGTCTGAGCTGGAGCTAGCAAATCCCTAAAAACCCAAGTTGCAGGCCCAGTCAGGTGTTTTGTCACCTTATTTCCCAGGCAGGGCAGAGCCGTACAGATTGGTTTTTCTCTAAGCCAAAGACCATACACCAACAGCTAAAGAGCTTCCGTACCCGTCTGTCTCTAGGAGCAACATGGTTGTATGTGCCAGAGCGTCATGCCAGCATTAATCTGCCCTCCCAAAACCAGTTGGCCAGCTTTGGTGTCTGCATATCTTTGGCACAAGTGATTCACAACTCCCAGATAGCTGGAAGCCTGCTGCACTGTGAGATAGTTTTTCTTTTTACTTCACTCCAGAGGAATTGGCAGGAGCATCTGCAAATCTTTCCTGGGCCCAACGGCAAAGGCTGAAAGTTTCAGTCTCAGTGGGTTCTGACTTGTTACCTGGAGCTAATGGAAAAAACTACACTTAGTTTGGCAGGCCAGGTAGAGGTGGTTGACCTCCAAGTCTTTGTCTCTTCATTAGTTTTGCCTTAGAGAAGCTGTGGCAGCAAAGCAGGACAGGGATTCCCTCTTGCTCTACCCGGATGTGGCTGAGTGGGATGGAGATCTGGATTTCCCAGACCTTTTATCAAACCAAGAAACATAGCTAGGTTGCCAAGTCCAAACATTTAGAAGTCAGAAGCCAACCTCCAAAACATCATCAGATTTGCTTAAAACCACAAGGTGTTCTTGGATTTTTCCTCTGGGGACTGAGTTTTTATTCCATTTTCAGTGGAAAACAAAAGAAACATACTCATTCTAAAAAAAAAAAACCCTGAAAATATTTCATGTGAGCACTAGATTCAAAAAGATTAAAAAGAAAACCAAAAGTGATGAAGGGTTTCAACTCTCATAAAAACTCTGGAAATAACTTATTTTAATTTCAAAGCCCTCTAAGGTGTAAAGGAAACATTTTTGGTGAAGCAACTCTGACTCATTCGAACACATTTATCTTCATTCATGCCTGCTTTTTGACTAAAAGACTTGAATTGCAAAGCCTCATGTGTGTGTGTGTGTTTGTTTTTTTTTTTTACTTTCACAGCTTTTTTTGGGAAATACCTCAATGAATACAATGGCAGCTACATCCCTCCTGGGTGGAGAGAGTGGGTTGGATTAGTGAAGAACTCTCGCTTCTATAATTACACCATTTCTCGCAATGGTAACAAAGAGAAGCATGGATTTGATTATGCAAAGGTATTTTCCAGACGCATAAATGCTCCATCATTAATCCATATAAAAATCACTTTCAGATAATTAATTAACCAGATAATTAATTAATTAACCAACTACAACCAAGAAATTGAGATATCATTTTCTCTCCAGAGCATTGCAGATCTATTTCTGTATGAGAATATTAATCGCACAACAGAAGAAAGTTTCCAAGGGCTCTTCAGTGCAGTCTCCTTTCCACCCTCTCTCTGATAGAAAGGGATGGTTTGGTGACAGAAGCAAATAGTAGATAAAGGCCGTTCCCCAAAATAATCAGGGCCTTTGCGTTACTACCTTTAAAGTTAACAGAGTGTCATCAGTTATTGCCCACATAAGAAACTTCAGTGAATGTTGTTTTCCATTGTACAATGCACAACAAAAAAAAAAAAAAAGGCAGTGTGCCTGTGGTGTCAGACTCCAGATATGACTATGAGAATAGATAAAAGCGTGAACACAGCCGTTGGAAAATTTTAGAGCTTGTTTGTACTCTTGACAAAGTTTCGAAAGTATGCCAAGGTGACCTGCCCACTGCCGTGAAGTTTCTCAGAAAGGCTTAGGAACGCAGATCGCACTTTCCAGCCTGCAGAAAGCAATCTGGAATTTCCTCAGACTGTAGCTCACAGAAGATGATACAGATGTTGCAGCTGTGGTTTCTGACCCATGTAATGAGATCTTATTGGAAGCTCACAATGCCTGTTTCTGATTTCCCCAACCGTAAGAATTATATGATACTGATTATGTATTTATGTAGAGTATAAAAAAAAAGAAAATAAAGAATATTGGTTAGTTATACATTCCTTACACACCCTGTGTATGTAGCTAGAATAAATAGGGAAATAGGAGGGGAGCGGATGCTTTGGGAAGGCAATCATACAGGCATTTCACTTGAACAGGCCGCAAACCCAGAAATTATCACAACCCTAGTGCCTTGTGCTCATTACCCATTTTGGAAACCAAAAGGTCACTCGCTATCTTTTCTAAATCCTTGCAGGGATTGTAGCAGCCAGGCTACTGTGAGTGCTCCAAATGTGCTACAGGAAAGGGGAAGGGGCAGGGGGGAGCAAGGAGGTCACAGCTGGTTGGCTTGTCCTAGCACCGACATGGGACACAGACCTTGTCCCTCAGGCTCTGCTTTTGCAGCTGTTCAGGGCCTCGAATCCACAACATATGATTAGTCATGCCTGGAAGTGCTTGAAATTGCAAGCATTGTCTCAGCACTTTCTCAATGAAGCTGGCACTAGACCTCCAGGCCAACAGTGAATGCTCCAAGGTGGCAGGTGGTTTAATTTAAGTTTTCATCTTTTTTTCTTAGTTCCATTTCCTCCCTTTCCCTTGTAGGCTTCCATTTGCCACCTTGGCTGTGGGTTAAGCAGGTTTATTAGCGAGTCACAACCTTAATCTCAGCAGCTGCACTGCTTAAAGTTGCATAATTAAGCAAACTGAATTCAACTGCTGGAATTCAACTGTTCCCTGGATTCACATTTGCAATTTCTTTGGTGAAGATTTTTGCAATCTGTTGCCTGTTGTAGCTTTCTTCCACTTTGTGCATATGCAAAAGTATAATCTGAACAAAGAGGATGCAAGAAAAGTTTATGTAAACAGAAAACCAGAGTAAGAGTCAACTATTTTTTGCAGTTAGGAGCCATTACCTTGTGAAAGTGTTTTATCAGTTACATTCAAAAAACATATCTTTGTCAGTATAGTCTCTCATTTTAAATGTTAGTTAGCATTATATTACAAAATCTGGTAATCATATTTACTTAATGCCTTCTGTTGTACCTGATTTGCAAAATAGTGTCTCATTTTATGTGGCCTCTCCTGCTTAAGAAAGTAATTACTGCTCAGTCTCCCCTGTGCTCCCTTGAATCATACGTCTCTTTGATGGTATGTTTTTACTTCCTGATCTGAGCCTTAATGAGGACTTGAAAATAACATAATAACACGATAGTATGTGATCTAATTAATCATGCACTTTGTAACTTTTGCTTTGTGTTAATCGTATATTCCAGGACTACTTCACAGACCTAATCACTAATGAGAGCATTAATTACTTCAGAATGTCTAAGAGGATATATCCCCATAGGCCTATAATGATGGTCATCAGCCACGCTGCACCCCATGGCCCCGAGGATTCGGCACCACAGTTCTCAGAGCTCTACCCCAACGCTTCACAGCATATGTAAGTCAAAATCACACCCTGTCAGACCCACTCCTTCTATCTGCTTCTTGTGAGGTATTTGTTTATGGAGATGTAGGGACAGAGAATTCAAATATAAGACACCAGTAGCAAGCAAGGAATGTTTGCTTGTTTCTTTTGCCATGCTTGCTCCTTTCAGGGAGGAGAGTGACAGCTCTGACCATTATTAAAACAGAGAGAAGCTCTTTTCCTCCTGGGAAGTTGTGGGAGATTAAAAGGTCAGTATTTGGCTTTGTAAGGGCAGCTTCTTACAATACCCTGAAAATATGTAGACACAGGTCAGGATCTGTTGGAAAGATATTACTTCCTTCTTCTTCCTCTAATATATGCACTTCCCTGGGCTCTAACTAAGTGAATGCATTGAGAGGAAAAAACACCCTTTTGTAACTTTCTTTATAGACTAGATACCAGCCAATTCCCAAAACAGCCTATTAGACTGCATTTTTAAATAACACACTTAATCTTTTCCAGTCATTATACTATAATTTAAAAAAGAACTCTTAATTTTGTTTCTAGAACTGGGGCCAAACCCAGGTAGAAATCTGAGGATTGTCCTGGATTTAACAGCTTGCTTTATAACTTCAATATTCTGAGTCCTTTTCCTCATAGGTGGTAGGGAAGCTTTCCATTGCCCTTCTCTCTACCATGGGCATGTGGACCACTCTTCCCATTCATGCTTAAACAATGTCTTTGCACTTCCTTCCACACAGAAAAAAATGTTAATGAAATATTTTAGCTGGATTGTACATTGATTTGACCTCTGAAAATGAGGAGGAATCAGCTTCATCACACTGTGGAAAAGCTCTGTGGTGTACAGATTACATTTTGGACACTCTGCAGTGTCTGACACACAAGGATGTGTTTGGTACTTAAAACTAGTTAACTAGTTTAAAATTGCAAGGAGTAGCAGTTGCTGCATAAACTGCACGCATAAACTGACCATTACTTGGGGTCAGAAAGAAATTTGATGTTCATGGCACATGGTTAAACATTTGTTAGTTTCTATTTTTTATTGTCTCATTGGCTGCTGCTTTCTAGATATGCCACTTTCTCTGACCTTACATTCTTGGCTATATTTTTCTTATCCTACATTCTCAACAGTCCCACATTCCTGGGACTAGACTTTTCAAGTAATACAAACCAGTCAGAAATGTTTCATAGTTATTTAGATATTCAGGGTAATTCCTATATGTATAAAAAAAGTGACAAGATTGATATTTTAGTTTGTAAATATTAACTTGAAAATGTAGCTGGTTCTGAAGTAATCATCGTGAAGAATTGCTGCCACATTATTGTGTCCTAAAGGTAAAATAAGATAGACCTAAAAACATGGCAATTGTCATCTTGGGTTGTATGAAACATGTTTCTAAGTCATTATCTGGAGTTATGTGCTCCCACGGAAAGCAGCAGGAAATGCTGACAGAAAAAAAAAAAAAAAAACAAGAGAGATTCCTTTTCCCTATTTTTTCCAGCTTCTGAAAATCACCAGTTTAAGTGAAGCACCCAGGCTACTGTGCCCCTTTCTGTTTGGATCAGTCTGATCTCTTTTTGAACCATGGTGGCAGCCCCACCATCCTGTAGCAACAAGTTCCAGTGCCACCCCATGTACTGGGCACAAAGGACTGTCTTTTTTTTCCTTTTAAACCTGAAGCTCGCTTGTGCCACAGGTGTCCCTTACTTCCTGTCCTGTGATGAATAATAAATAGTCACTACATCAAATTTAATGGACCTCTCCCATGTCTTCTTTCAATCACCCCTTTTCATAGCAAGAGAGTTATATCTATTTGTTCTCGCTCTGTTCAACAGATTGCTTCCCGTTTAGTGGTGCAGATTGCCTGGCCTCAGGCAAGCCGTTCTGTTTGCTGGGGGACTATCCATCATAGAGGAGGGTAGGATTCAAACTGTTTCCTCTTAGCTGTGGGACCGTGTCTGGAAGAAAAACACTGAATCATTGTATCTCACCCTACCTCTCCCCAGGCCAAAGCAACTCATTTTAGGCTCCATGCTCACTGTCTTCTGATAAAAGAGTGCTTGTAGGAACTTGCATTGGTTTATCATGCTCCTGACACTTTCTACTGCTTGGTGCTTTCAGCCGACTTGTTTTCTAGCTTGTGCTGCTAGAACCAATGGGTTTAGTTAGTCTCCAAAATTTTAACCACCTCTCCACCTTATACAGGTTGCATGTCACCTGCAAAGATCAAGAAAAGATCCTAGTTATCTGTTTACAGCCTTAGTTTCATTTGAGTACTTCTGTAAATTTATTTTTATTTGCGTGGACTCCTGGGATCTAAATACCTTGCTCTGCTATGTTACTTGTGAAATAGCCCAGAATATGAGACTCAACTGTGCTGCTTCTTGTCTTCTGGTGGTGTAGATTTCTTGGCAGCCTTCTTGCAAAGAGTTTTTTCTCTGATGACCTCAAGAGATCCTTGCTGAGTTGTTTTGTGTTTCTTATTGCACTGACTGATTGCATGTGTTAGAGTTCAGTCTGTAGACTAAGAAATGAAGCAAACTGAAGATAAACTGCCAGTCTGGGTGGCTGAAGCCTCCAAATAACTGATTTATCTAGCTAAAATATTAGCAACATGATCTAAAATATGTAAGAAGTTTAGTTCTCACTGAAATATTTGATGCTCCCCGTGAACAAGAACAATAAAATCCCTCCTGCCAAGTTTTGTGTAATTTGAACATTTAACCCTTAGGTTTTCTTCCTTGGTGGTCAAGCACCATTTGAATCTCTTTCTTTCTGACCTTGGGTGACAGCCATCTGACCTTGGATTTTGTTTTTAAAAATGTAGTTGCTATATCATGTTACTGTAACTCCTACCTCCAACAAAGAAGGGAAACCAGGTCAAAAGCTGCTTGCTGGCTTTACAAACTGAGATGGAAGGTTATACCTACAAACCAAGGATTGAGATAGCCTGTCAACCACATGTGAGGGGTAGTTTTGCTTACAAGGACAGTAGCAGAACCTTAAATTACATGATGTTTCTTTGTCGGTAAAGTGCCTGTCATTTGATTGAGATACTGCCTTTATAAATTTATGCAAAAACCAAAAGTTTGTTTAGAAGTTTTCCACTTGCACATATGAAGAAAGGAGTGGCTATGGCAGAAAATACTCCAGTTCAGGGAGAGTTTTGCCCTCAAATGTGGGCATCTATCGGTCTCATTTCCGCTCCCTAACAACACAGAAGGGAGAAAATCAAATGAATGCAGCAGAAACATCCAAAGATTCATGAAAATCCCATCAAAGCCAAAAAGGAAAGGAAGAATTACATGCCATCGTTACCTTACAATCCTGTCCTCCTCAGCACAGCCTTCTCGAGTGGCATGAAAAGTCTTGCAAGGACAAGAAAGGTATTGATGTATACACTGTTTAATCATTAATTTAAAATGATCCCTGTCAATTCTCATTAGCTCCAGTTTAACATGAGACACACACTATATCATGCTGGAAGCAGCTGACACTCTCTATTGTTTTTAAGCATCCATTCTCCCTCCCAGCCTCCCATCCCTCCTCTCCTCTCCTTAAAGTATGTCCTATTTCTGACACATGAAAATATTTCTGAAAGTTTACACTGCCTGCTATCATCACAATGAGTGGTATATTTTCTGAAAATAAATCATACTGATGCATGTAGTCAAGCTATGCCGAGAAGTTATTTCTGTGAAAGAAAATGAGACTGGATAGGATGTACTAGATGAAAGCACTACACAGATTTTTGCTGTGGTAATGAACATCATCTGTTGGGGAGCAGGGTTGCTGGACCTTTGGAAATGCTGTTGTTAGATATGAAGTTATGACATAAGAGATGGCTCTCTAGGTGTCCCTGGCAGCCGTTACAGGAGAATCTTGTTCCACCAGAGAGCTGAGCAGGAAAGCCCTGACTCAAAGGATGCTCTAATGAAAGCCTGAATTGTCAGTTATGTTCAGGGCCTCTGGCACTTTAACTTCCCTTTACATTCGAATGTGAGCCAGTCTTAGGAGAATCACAGAATCAGACCTAAGCTGTTTATAAGCTGTGAAGTAAACAAACATTAGAAGCAAAATTCTGGGGGAGGCAGGTTTACTGAAGAATGTAACAAATGGAAATCTGACACACTGATGGCTGTGCTGAGTTAAAGATCCTTGGGTTGGCAGGAGGACCGGCAACCAGATTTTATGGTTACCTGTAAGCAATCCTATTGCCAGGCTAAAAATCTTAGGAGGAACAACTAGAAATGGTATCTGGGAGGAGATCGGAAAGCTTCCCAAGGGAATATAAGAAAAGGCATATGATATGAAAAGCAGAGCTTTGTATTTCAGTTTAAAAAGAGTATGAACGATGCTGAACAACCAGATCTGGCACTACGGCTGTGTTTGCAGTAGTGAAGCATGAAGAGCAATGCTGTTACACCTCCAAATCCCCAAGAGCAGTCTTAAGTGTGAATTTGGGGTGTGAGATGGCTGTATTCAGAGTGCCTTCTAGTCACTGAGGCTGTCTCAAACATCTGCCAGTTATGATAGTATTTCTTCTAATGTGGACAACTTACCCATTAGAGTGGGATCAGACATTTGCATCAGTAATAAATCTTGACATGTCAGCGTGTCTTGCATGCTGGCCTGAGGCCCACTGCGATTCCTGACTTAGAGATAAATGATCAAAATCATCACACACATCATTGCAAGTGTGACTTTAAACAGGACTAGAAGAAATAGTGTGATATAGAAACACAGTAAGATTCTAGTTACACAACTTCTGCAGCAGAAGCAATTAATTATTCCTAAAATTTAAAAAAATGTGTTATATTTAACGAGTAACAACTTTCTTCTTTATTCTGAAATATAGCAGCTGTGTTACACTTCAGGAGCAAAACTTTCATACATCCCATCCCCAGATATATATATCCCTGGGTTTAAAAGATTCCCCTTTTAAAAGGCAGTGAAAGTAGATCCAGAAGGGTGAAATTCAGCTTCACATTAATACTGACCATGCCACTGG